TGCTTGCAGAGCTCTGCTCCACAGTGACCCATTTGGATGTCCAAGACACTCACCTGAGCACCATACTCATGCTCCACTGTTCCCAGAAATGACTCCAGGGGGTTCCTGTCAGCTTCATGGAACAGGAGGGGAAAAAACCAACAAAGTCTATTACTATTAAATGGCAGTAAAACTTACCCACATGCCAGGCTAAGGAGCAAAGCTTCTGGCCCAAAGTGAAGGAAGCCATTCCCATCTCCTGTAAGCTTCACCAGGCAAGCCCAGGACCTACAGCTGACCATATAAAGCAGGTACAACATATAGTCTAGAGACTTTCAGTTTTTAAGGACTCTTCCTCCCTATAAACACAGCTAGGATGAATACTGGTTCATCTGTAGGTTAGGGGTCAAGCAATGAGCTACCTCAGACACACAACATGTGAATAGATCAGGGCAAAGTCAACAAGAGGAGTGTTTCCCTTTTCCATCTGCCCAGGCTTCTGCAGTCACACAGAGAAGCCATCAGAGAGGCAAAATGTTCTCTTTAGTTCCAGGTATCCTGTATGAAAACTACCTTTATATCTTTTCTTCTCCTCTTCTGTTAAATGCTCCGTTCGGATTTTTGTGACCACATTCACATTGTTTGCAAAGTAGACCTTTAAAAAATAAAAGGACAAGGACAAGACCCCAAAGTCAACACAGGTTAAAAAAGAAAAGAGAGTTCTCTCTAGTAAAACACCATGTGTTAAAGAAGGGATAAAGCAGCATGGATCTGCCTCTGACAAAGATCTTTAACCCACTGGGGATCCACAGGAAATGCTGCACTTTGAATCATGGAACTGTTTTAGTTGGAAAAAGATCTTTAAAATCATAGAGTCCAACTGTTCCCCCAGCACTGCCAGGTCCCCACTGCCCCGTGTCCCTCACCCCACATCTCCACAGCTTGGAAACCCCTCCAGGGGTGGGGACTCCACCACTGCCCTGGGCAGCCTGGCACAGCCCTGGGCAACATTTTTGGGAAAAACATTTTTCCCAAACCCTGCAAATCACACACCAGAGTATCCCCAGCCAGCATTATCCCACAAGCATCCTGTGCTGAAAGCATGGCAAAGGTGCTTGCTCATCACTGGGGCAGCAACAGGAGCCAGCCTTCCAGCCAAGGAAAGCAGCCTGACACACTTTTCAATAGGCTTCTCTAACTAACCCAACCTCAAAACCAGACAGGCATTTCCAAGTTTACTGGAAAGAGTCCCCACCTGGGCAAGGATTTGAAGAGAACAGGGAAGGAAAGTCAGGTAATGCCATTTCTCACCACAGGCCACTGGTAAAACCTTCCAAATTAAAATTAAGGGATACTTTAATTCTGCAGGGATTCTACCAAAGCCCACATCCCACTGGATACTCCTGCAGTCTTACCAAGAAAAGCCTTCATATAAATGTAGAAAGCTACCCAACATTTATTCTCCTGGTAAATGAAATTCCTAAATGTAATTTATTGCACAGATTCCAAAACCTGGAGTGAACACAGACTTATGAATCAGGGAAGTTCATGCTTGTGATTCTGAAACTTAAACTCCAAGCTCAGTAAGGGCTGTAAAGCCAATTTCAAAAATACTTCAGTGAAGGGAAATAGACCAAACTGGCGTGACATGGAACAAAGGTTCCAAGGAGGTTTTTAGTTCCTTGCAATCCTGTTACTAGACCATGCTCAAGGCACTTCCCCAACATGTCCCTTCTCTTTTAAACTAAAAGAATGACCATGTTCAAGAATTAGTTAAATTCCAGTTTTTGGAAGGGAGTTGTAGCAGTTATGCTGAATACTTTTGCCCCTCTTCTCCTGAAAGGCTTTGACCCTGACTGCCCCAGAGCCCCTGCCCACGGTCCTGCATGCAGACACAACCCCTCCCAGAAGCTTGGCAGCCTTGAAGCTCCCCACTCCTGCCCAGTGCTGCTGGCAACACAATAATGCCCTTGATGGGAAGCTTAAAACCTGAAATTCAGGAAATAAAGGCAAAACACAACCACATTTCAGTTAGCTTAGAGCAGAACAGGCTTTACCTTTGCTTCGTAACCATTTACGCCTTCTGCTTTTTCTGTCCTCCACACCCAGAATCCAGAGGTGGTTCTGACAAGAAGCAAACACCACAAGGGTCTGCACAGTTGCATTTCACACAAGCCCCACTCCATTTTTTTCTGAAACTGACTTTAAATGACATCCCATGGGCTATTTCACTGTTAACTCACCTGTGAGGTCAATCTGGCCTCGCACACGCATCACAAGTTCTTAGCCAGCCTGTGGCCAAGGCTCAGAGATTTTACACTGAGATGGGGACACCTGAAGCCCAGAGGGGGACAGCCTACCAACTTACTGCATTGTTTTCTCTGACAGCCTAGTTTCAGATTAATTTCACTTCAATTTGGGGAACTGGATAGGAGGAAGTCTTCAAAGAAATCTCCGTTCCTGAATGTGCAGATGCTGCAGTGACCAAGGCTCAGTGAACACTGCAGGGACTAATTCTGAGCAGCTTTGAAAGGGCCCTAAATAACCAGGAGGAAGATGCTGGAATTCTAAGTCTCACTTTGAAAACATTTGTTTTGTATGGTGATGTCTGAACCATGCTAACAGATACCTGGATAAAAGTGTGTAGCAGCCAAAGACAAACCTGTGTCTGTGGAGAGACACAAGAGACACCTCTTTTTATCTGAGGAATTAATGTGAGATTAGGCTGATTTTGCTACAAGCTGCAAACCCCTTAAGTTTCAGCACCATACATCTGGATTTGGGTGAAGGCAAACTTGTAACACTGAGCTCAGCAACAGAGCTCAAAAGGATCAATGAACCTCTCAAAAAAATCAGTTCAGCTGGAAACTTTTTGCCAAGCAGTAGTGGCAAGCCAAAATTCTTTATCTAAGGGTATGTGAAGTTTCAAGGAAGTTCAGATCTAGCCCTAAAAGGTTTTATTATCAGGGCTTTTAAGGGCTTGGCTATATTGCAACTACGACCATCCATAGTCTTGAAGCGTTTGGGGTTTTTTTAACAAGAGAAACTTTGCATCTTACCTTTCAAAAGCAATGTTTTTTGTGTCAAGGCACATGTTAATAATTGGGGAGGTAAGGCGACGTTCCACATCTTTCCTTTTTGGTGTCATAGATCCCAAGGTCAAACGCTTCATGTGCTGGGAGAGCTCGAAACGCTCCGTTGTGACGAACTTGTCGTCGTGATTGATCTCAATGAGCTCTGCCCAGCCTCCAGTATCTGTGGGAAATAGTGCATATCTTGGGCTGAAAAACTTCCCAACTGTATTCCTGAGAATAGACTGTGTATCAAATGGGGGTGGATGGTAATTTGCTGCATCTTGTGCTTAGCTGAGATCAAATTTGGAGCTGTATCTAAAATTGGGTTTTAATTGCGGAGCAGGAAAACAGAAGGGGGGAAAACTGAGTAAAAGACTGAAGCCAAATTTTAGCCCTGTTACCAAATTTTGACCTCAGATTTACCCAAAGGAAAGAAAATAAGCCATGACATTAAACCACAAAACAGCAGCTCAGTGAATCTATGTATAAGAGATGGAATTATGTGGATAAAACTTCTACAAAACTCCATCCTCAGCCTCGACAGGTCTTTTTGGGCAAAACTGGGATTTCCCACTGTGGCTCCCATATTTGTGGGATGTGGTATGTGGTGACGAATGGTTCAGACACACTGAAGGATTTACCTTCTCCCTTGAAAATCAAACTACGCCTCCCTCTCTCCCAGCTCATGTTCTCAAAGCCCAGCAGAGTGATGTCCACACGCAGCTTGGAGCCGCTTTTCCAGATCCGGCAGACGTCACTGGGACAAACTCTAGAGACCAGTGGGACTGCAAGAGGAAAAGGGAGAAGGTAAGTGGAAAATATTCAAGAGACTAAGCAAGCAGGGTGTCTGAACTCAAGCAGAAACTACATCCCCAGCACAGGATTGCTCAGTGCTATGATCATTATTCCAGAGCAGGCAGGATACTGATCTTTAGTTTTAAGAACAACCAGCTTAGGGGTAAACCCCACCAATTTTAACTGAAATATGAACATGAA